TCTAAACTAACTAAACTCTATCTCAACCCTAATATGGCAGGCTACGATCGAGGCGTGGAAGACTTGGTCCGAGTTATCAGGGCCAAATAGAGCTCTAGATTACGTCACGAGACTCTAATGTCACGGGTTTAGACTACTAACTTTATGCAATTTTGACTTATCGGGGGGGAGTAATTGGACCGAAACTTTAAGTCAAAGCACTAGACTCTTTATGAGTCAATCTTACTGAATTTCTCAAAACGCTTCCTCCTCTTTTATTGAAGCGAAATGATAGGTCTTAAATACTTTTGACCAATGCTGCGTTCATGAATACTTTTTACTAACATCTGCTATTCTATTATTTTCTATTTTTAACAAATTTAGCAAAATCGCACCTGGCTTAGATGAATAGGTGCAAAATTGTCTTGTGGCAATTTGCCTTGCGGCAAATTGCCCCGCGGCAAATTGTCTCGCGGCAAATTGCCTCACGTATGAAGTTTCTACTTTTAGTAACACATTCTGTCCCAACTTCGTAATAACAAGAATAAATACTAATATAATAATAATAATAATAGACAAAAAATAAAATAAACAATATAAAAAAATTAAAAGTTTTGGATCGCGGTCACCTGGGCCCCTTTTACAACGTACGTACGTACGTACGTACATACATAAGCTACCAAAATAATGCAGATGCCAAATAGCTCGATGTATTGGGTAAGCGCCAACATATTAACAGTAATCTTTATTATGCGGCCATAATGAGTACAGAAGTTAAAATAAATTTAATCTTAGTGTATGAAAACGAACGTTATCAATTACTCGCAAAATATCACAGTTACACAAAATTCGAGATTTTAAAGTTACAGTATTTCTGTATTTCATTGTATAACAGCATCACATGTTTTTAACCTTTTTGTACGTATATTTAATTCTCTTGTTAGAGGACTACAAAATTTTATATAAAGCTAAAATTTTTTCGCAAATTAATAAAGCACATACGAAATATTTAACGATTACTGTGTTCGATAATTTCAGTATGATTCTCTTAAAAAATGTTTTTTCATTTATTTTAAATTTGATACACATTTTATTGGTGGCTTGCGAGTTTACTCCTAAATCACGATATACAGACTGATGCTTTAGTTGATAATTTCAGATGGTATATGTTTGGTGGTGATTATGGACTTTTATGACTGGTAGCGATTCATTATTTCTTGAATTATCAAGGTCATTTAACAGCCGATCACCTTTATGGAATTCAAGTCAGGACTGTCCCGTAGCGACGGTATATAGTACTTCACGTGTTGCAAATAATAATTCCGCAATTTTTTTAATTGGTGGGATGATGCTTTATCCGAATTCGCAAGATTTTCTTCCTACTCCACAAGTATACGTATTAAATTTAAGTAATTCAAATTGGATATCACCAAATATTACCGGACTAAATGACTTTGCAAGTGTCAACTAATGAAAGCTACCATCGATAATACCGGGAAAATATTTTTATTTGGTGGAATTAAAAACTCCACCGGACCTATTTGTAATGTAGTGAGTATACTTAATGTAAATGATATGACATGGTTAACTCAGAATCTTACCATTAGAGCAAGAATGAGGTGGGCGTTCAGGAGTCGATTATGATAGTTATATTAGCATGAACGAGGTAGGAATTGTTTTTGCTTTCAGTTATAAATGATGATTTTCTAGTATTGTACTTTTATATTTTCTTCGATTGATATATTTGATACCAATTCATTAATCTGGTATAATATGGTAAGCGATTGGAGAAATATAAAAAATGATCGATTATCTATAATTATTAATATAAATAACGATAAAAATATTAGACAGCCACAACTGCCGCAGGTGTTCAGATTGGAAATCGAGGAGGTCATTCGGCCGTCTTAAGTAGGTATATTACAGCATTTATAATGTTAGAAATGAAATTGAATATAATTACAATTTTTATCATTAGCTCAAGATTCTAAGATCATTGTATACGGAGGTTCAACGACAAACATTGGTTTTCCAGCAATTCCCGATCTTCTAATATTAGACACAAACCTTTATCCATTTGATTGGATAGTCTTAGAAGTTTCTACTAATGATGCTGCGCCTCCACTATTGCTTACTGAACATTTTGCAGCGATATATGATGATTTCATGATCATTGCATTTGGTAAGTACAAAATTTAATGTTAAATTTTGATTTTTTTCGAAATTCCCATTTATTATTACTGTTATTATCGTTATAGGTAGGTTTACTGTTCCAAATCAAGAAAGCTTAAGCAATAGTATTTATATTTACGATACACAAAACAACTTATGGGTTACAACATTAATTAGAGACCATCAAACTTCTCATGGGCTTTCCAATTTTATGGTAGTTATTATTGTAGTTTGTATACTTGCAGTAATTATAACAATTGTAGGAATTGTAGGATTTATAACATATAATAGATGGCGACTTTACAATAAGCTTTTTACTAAATAAAACATGTTAAATCATCATATCATTTTACTTTATAATTTATTATTATAATATAATATATTATTTCCAAATAAAATCATTAATAATGGCAGATATTCATAACCCCTGATTTTGTTATTTGTACCCCGTAAACTAAAATTTTTTAATTTTTATAGTAAAAATTACTGCGGCAACCACCAAGTCAAATTCGATAAACTTTTTTTTGTTTGCATTCTACAGATTCGTAGAATTCAAATAAAAAAGTTGGTCAAATTTGACTTGGTGGTTTTCGAGATATCTTTGCTCAAAGTATGAAAAATAAATATAAAATTCAGTAAAATATTAAAAAGTGCTGACATAATGTTATAACTTGTCGGCTCATTATAATTATGACAAGCTATGATATTATATCTGCACCTAAACAACTCAATTTAAAGCTGGTCTTTTGAATCTCATATACATACGCCTCTGTTTCTTGTTTAGCGCAATAATATGGCATGTGCACCATATGTTACGAATGTTATGCACAAAATTACACCGTGAATGATTTCAGGTAACTGCCAATAAGAAGTCACTGGAAGTCACCAGAAATCACTGGAACTACCATTCTAGACAAAAATTTTCACTGGACATTCGGTCACTGGAAGCTATTATGCTTTGGATATCCAAATGATTACATAGATATCCGGAAGGTTATCCGGTTATCCGTAGGATTTGTATTATTTATTTCCTGGGGGAGTAGTAATTATAACGGAGGTTACCGATGATCATAGTACATGGATGGCCCGAAGGGCCATGATCATCGGTAACCTCCGTTATAATTTCCCCACAGGAAATAAATAAATAATCCCCAGGAGCGTGTCACTAGATGTTAATTGGACTACCATACCATTATTTTTACACGTGTTCCATATTTATATTCGTATTG